CCAATGTTAACCTTCTGTACCGAGGAAGTTATGTTATCAAGACTAACGTATTGGTCTCTTGAACTGGGGAAACTACACACCCACTGGTGTAGGATACTCTTATTCCGTTATTCCTCTTATTAATTTAAATGATTTGATCGACATAGTCGAATGCCCTGCTGAGATCATAAAAAATCCGAACAGGATACTCACGCCGGTCCATCAAATCCACAATGTTTTCATAATAAGTGTTCACTGCTGTTATTGTTGATCTTCTCTCTAAGAATCCATGTTGATTTTGAGATAATATTCGACTCTTTCTGCAGAATGATAGTAATCGATCAAGAGGTGTACTGTAATGGGTCTATAATTCTTCACGAGCCTTAAATCACCTTTTCTAAGAATTGGTACTACTTTGCCTGTTTTGAGCACATCTGGGAATGACCCTGTTTTCGTTAGAAGAGAAATGCCAAGGATTTTTTCAGAAGGAACATGGGTACCTCATCGTGTCCTGATGATAATCTATTATTCAATTACCTTCGTAATATATTATATGACTCTGCATCTGAAAAATGAACAATTCACAGATGTTATTGAAAGTAGAGATAGAAAAGTTCTACATTTTTTGGGTCCTTCTTTAGATATGCTTGTATCTTTGTTACTTAATACGTTTGTGATCTGCTATGCTGTTTTTGTTTGGAAAGTTTATAGCATTCTTTCAGAGATGGATTACTAGATGTCAGCCTATGTAGATTTTTGACGTTTCAACTTGACGTACTTTTTCGAAATGATGAGCGAATATTTCCCAGAAGTGAGCAGAAGCAGCGTTAATAGCTTAAGAATAACGAATATCATTTCATTTCTTGTTTCTCAAGTCCAGACAAAAGTTTTCAATGGCATTTTCATTGAATAATCTCTTTGGTTTTTGTTTATCGCGATTACAAAATTTTTGGCATTTGAACTCGAAGAAGATTGATGATCTGAGATATTATCGAATATTCAACTACATTTCTCTGATATATTGGTAAATATTCCATCGATAGTTGATATTGACTACAACCACATATCAATATATACACTCCTGATCTATAATAATAATAATAATAATAAGATGCCTTCATTCATCATATTCAATGGTTTACAAAAATGATGAATGGGCGGGATTCAGCTATTAAAGCTGCTTTTAAACCCAACTTTGGACGTACACACTTAATCTATAAGATCACAAAAACCTTCAATATTAATATATCTGTATAAGTATAGCATAATAGATACAGAGGTAGGTGAAAAAAAAGATAATAAAATTTGTAGACAGTAGAAATTGTGAAAATTTTAATTCTTCCTTTATCCATTCAATAAATGAATGTTTTAACCTTCGAACTGACCTGTACAAGAACGAAGAATCAGTTGTAAGAACAAGTGTCGACGCATAAAAAAAGTTATACGTAGTTCTCAGACTGTGACTGTTTGACAAGCACCCGACAAGGAAGCCGGCGACACCTCAAAAAATTGTCATTGAACCCGATAATGAATTCCGACGAAATCTAATAATATCGAGTTGTGTGACTGAGAATGACTGCATTATTCAAATCTATCACCCGCGGCCGATCGGGTCCCATACTTTTTCCCCAGTCGATATCGAGCTGTGTAGGTGTATCCTCGTTCTCCGACAACACCATTAATCCAATTCTTGTGCTGAGTACCTCCAGGTAAAAAGTTCAAGGAATGCCGCCAGATATTATCTCGAACAGGAAATTTTAAATTAAATTCACGGGCGCATATCTTCGAGAATTCATGAACTTTGCTGTGTGAGGTTTTACCTGACGACGGCGAGCGGTGTCGAAAATGGCCGCTAACTCGTGAACGAATTTTCGTCAACGTCAAGTACCGTATTTCTGAGACGACGTCAAAAAAATGACGTTACAGTCTGCTTCAATCAGAAGCAGACTGTATGTCGAGTGGGGAGTTCGCATCTTCCACGCTTGATTTTCAGGAAGGGAGAAACATCGTCCACGAGTACCTACCTCTTTTCAATCCTCATTTCCGAGTATAACTTTCTGACGAGATCTCTCATTGAACGAAATCTAAAAAAGATCAACATCAATATGGTTTCTGGTCTCAATAAAGTACCTTTCATCTTTCAATATTCTACCACTATTTCTTACTATCTTTAGGGTGTATATATAACCTTATACACATTTGTGTATGGCTCTTCAGCTTCCTGAAAGAACTTTCCCTGCAAGCGGCCGTTGATGGATGTCTCTCGAATGCTTTCACCATCAACGCTGGTGTTCTCCAGGGATCCATATTGTCCCCTACCCTCTTTTTATATCAACGACTTATTGGAATAAAACAAGAATCCAATATACTGCTCTGCTAACGACAGCACACTTATCTCGTCATTCCAGCGATAAAACGCTTCTTTCCAAGAACGATGAAACTGACAGCCGTGAAAATAATAACTAGGTCTCACTATTCTTGTCCCATACGTGACTCTCTTGACCTAGATATGCATCATTCTCACAAATTCTCAACCAGATTGAACCAATAGGGTGTATTCGACCCTCCACCACA